ACCAATTCCAAAGTCAATTCTTCTTCAAATGTTATCTAATTTGCTTTACTAGTATTATATCTCCTAGTAATATTAGCACTACGTATTGGTTTATTATCCACCGGAAAACCATTAAAAATTTTATATTTCCTACTAATACCATATAGTTCTTCCTTTACAACCCAAGGTTCTTGCAGAAAAACTACATGAATATTATTTCTAGAAATATATTCCATTAAACTAAATGTAGAATTTTTTCCACTTTCTAAATTAATTTGAACACAATTTATTTGAATTAATAATTCACTATTCATAATCTATTTTTTTATTAAAATCAATTAAATATTTCTTTAACGATAAACACTCCTTTGAAAAACAACTGTGCTTAATATCCCCTGAAATCTTGTTTCTTATACACACAATACATTTCTTTTCTTTTGAATTACATTTTCTAACATCATGTTACCCACCGCAATTTTTACAAAATTGGATATCTTTGCAATTCTCTGATTTGTGACCAATTGTTAAGCATTTGAAATAGTGTAAGATTGACTTATCCTCCACTTTGCATCGATTCTATCCTACCTTTAAGCCATCCTTAATGATTAATCTCAACTTACTCGTAACTTCTCCAACTACATGCTCAGTAAATTTGTTTTCTTTTTCTTTAAATATTCTTTTAATTCTAATTTCTTTCTTAAAATCTTTTGTATCCTGATAGTTATCTCTTATGATTTCGTTTTGTTTAAACAAACATTTTAAAATATTATTCTCCTTCAATTCATGATTTATTCCGAAAATAACCATACGTAGTTTAAATTTTTTAATCTCCCTAATCTCTGTTTTTCCTACTTTCTCTGTTACTGCCAATTTTAATTTGTCCACATCGGATTTGTTTTTACATTCTATGAAAACAGCCCCATTCTTATTCGACGTAACCCTTTTAACATTAATTCCAACGGCAACTGCCGGTCGGTGCACAGCCAGACAACAACACGCACGTACGTGTCTCCAGATAAATCTTTTATCTCTCTCACTTCTTTCGGTTATTCTCTAAAAATATAGACTCAGCTCGTTATGACAGACGCTGTACAATAATCTTGATACAACGTTGACTTATCAGCTTTTCAGTCACTGTAACAAATATGTGCATCAAAATATATTATTTATGACGGTTTTATTTACACACATCAATTTATTGACCAATTTTGCGACCTTCAATTTATTGTTATGTGTAATACAGAAATTGATCAATTAATTGGTCAATTTCAGATTGACCAATAAATTGATGGTCGATAGAACAAGTTCTATTTTTCGTCAATTTTTTAGGGTTNTACCACACACGTTTACTTTTAGTTATAGCGCTCATCCTCTTATCGTATCTGTGATTTCACTACAACTAATTCGCCGGAAAACAAGGTTGATGACAACTTTCATGACAGATCATGACAACTTTGCGAAGTTCTGCGCATATGCGTATATCAACCCTCCGGTCAAACTCGATTTTTACCTGCGGTTGGGATAACTTCCCTTTAACCGGAACTTTATTACTCAACCGTAGGTCGTACAACGCAAAATAACGGTTAACCGGTTTTATAATGTACGGTTGACAGTAGGTTCACTGTCAACCGTACATTATAAAACCGGCCCTAAATCATCTACGTATATTAGTTAATGTCACGGCACAAACAAATTGGTACGAGATTCAGGAGTGTAAGATAAAAGATCGAAACCACTTTTCACACGTGTTCGGACTCTCCCGCTTCCAATTAACGGTGGTTCTCAATTTATTGCCGAAGTGAAGGCATCCTCCTTTTTGATAATCGAAGACGATTCACGTGTTCGGACACTCTTCTCAAAACATGTGCGTCGCGCACAACGGAACAGTTGTTTTCCCGATTTTACGTATCAGCGAATGCGTAAACTCAAACAAAAAACAACCGACAAGACATTGACACGGCGTACGCGATATCTGGGCGATATCTGGTCGAGTTCCCGTTGTGAGATATTATAGGCATCCCACAGCTTCCCGATAAGGTACGTTGTCTTCAAGTTCGATACTTTCTTGTCGATTGGCGTAGTTGGTAAACCAGCTGTCTCCAGCAGATCATACAAAATCTTTCGATTATTTTCTGGGTATAATTTGATTCGTGAATTAATATACCATCCTCCTTTCTCTCAATTTGTATACATAGATATGATGTCACAGATCCCTCCATCACGTTAAATTTGGTTTAAAGTGCACATGTTAGTTCCTCTGTTTCGGTCTCATCTGACCCTGCTATCAATCCGTCGTCAACATAAACGACTGAAACGACGAATGTGTGTGATTTGTGTGTGACCAGATTTCAAATTAATTTTACGCTAACACGAAATTAAAAATACTGTTACGTTCGGGGGTTGTTTCTTATGCAGTAGGGGTTACTCGCTTGATCTTTGTTCTTTGTGAGAGGTATCGCGTAGATATTAAATAATTAAAATCTTACTTACCCTTTTATTTATCGTCGTCACCCTCCGTCAAGGCTATGAGTTAGGATGGATTGTTGCGGGGTTGAACAACTAAACTTCACTTATTTCCCAAAATTATGTTTATCAAATACTACTTTCTACAAATGACTTAACTCTACACGGTGGCCGGTTCGCGATTCCCCCATTGTCCCTCAATGTCCGCCGATCATCGGTCGCGGTAGCGTTAAACCCTTAGTTAGCATTTTTCATACGACCGATGTTCGGGGCATTGTCTTAAATCATGGCCGTTCGCGGCATTTCCCTCCCCTCTGACAAATATGCTCCTGCATATTTGTAAGAAAGGTTAACAATGGTGGGCATGATTTTACATTTTACATTATTCGAACTTAAGTTACTTTACTAAAATTTTTTTTTTTTAGNGCGTTGCGTGCTGACTGATGTTCCCTTTTGCCATTTCCCAAGTCTACTAATCCAACCATTTCATATCTACCAATATGGTAACAATTCTATTCTAAATAATCAGGTTTCTTTAGAATTAACTTTACCTTTTCCCGCCACGTGGTCGCATCGGTTTTTTTGCATTCGACTATTGGATATTTATGTATTATGTCGACTAACAAAGAAATGTCGTTATCGCTGTACCACACACGTTTACTTTTAGTTATAGCGCTCATCCTCTTATCGTATCTGTGATTTCACTACAACTAATTCGCCGGAAAACAAGGTTGATGACAACTTTCATGACAGATCATGACAACTTTGCGAAGTTCTGCGCATATGCGTATATCAACCCTCTGGTCAAACTCGACTTTTACCTGCGGTTGGGATAACTTCCTAGAAACCTTGCAATCTGTTTTCTCATTGTTTCAAGATTTCTCGAGCTTCTGGTGGTTCCCCACAGATAAAAATCAAGAGAGGTAAGATCGGGTGATCTTTGCAGGTTGCTGCCTTTTGCTATTTATAAGGGGTGTGTATTGAATGTGCGCTTTTTATTTGTAAATTCAACATGATAATACTTTAGAGCATTTGAAGTTAAAAGTATTTCTTCTTCAGATCACTCATTTAAAAAAAAAAATTATTAATGTAATGTAATAAATCTACAAAGCAGAAATCGTCGCTATTATCAAAGCTCCACTATAAGCTGCATATCATAGAAATTAATTTTGTGCAGCTTCAACGTAAACGTACCCTAATACTGTTAAAATTAATACTAGACTGAACATTATCTATGTCGAGTGCATAATTTTATATTACGGAAAGAGTCCGCTGGTTATTTATTTCAATTTTCCTTTGTTTTCGAGTTATAAATTGTATATCTCCGTAATATTCTTTGGATTATTTTGTCTTCTTCCGAAGTTCTTATTTGCCTATACATTTTCTCTTATAGAATATTTAATAGTTCTTGACGTATCATCTAACACTATGGCAGTTAAAATCGACAAAAGACACAACACCACAAGCCTGTTGGATAGGTTCGGGCTCCGATTCACTCAGTGTAGACGACGGTGTGTTACGATGTTAATAAAAGGGCGCCACGAACTTAAACCGATACCATTCATCAGTCCAAATAATTTTTCTTGGGAACGATGGGTCTTGTAAATATTGTTGTTCGAACCACATACAAAATTGTAGACGTATTTAAGAATCCCTTTCTACCAATCGTTGACTGTTCCTGTTATTCTTTCCGTTTCAATTTGTCGACTGGAGATGCATGCATCTGCAATGACCGCTCCAATTACATTAATTGCGGCATTTTCAGCACCTTGAATGTTATACTTTTTTGGTATTGATTTTTTAAAACATCCGTAATTGATTAGAAATCTTGTAGATGCTAAAAATTGATTTATGTAGTTGTCTCCGTTCTTGGTAGCGATTCGAGAAGCTCATCCCCAGATCGTCGAAGGCCGTCCACCACACGGAGGGCATCTCCTCGAAGGCGGCGGGCGGCTTGCTTCGTCTGCTCCGTCAGGGGCGTGCTGGCGTCGGCGAAATAAGCGCGCATTGCCTTGATAAATTCGGCGGGGTCTTCCAAGGCCTCGCCGGTGAAACAATGGGGTTCGGGTTTTGAAATGCAGACGTGGTCCCGCCAGTAGTTTTTCCAGGGCGCAGAACTGGGTACGCATAGTTGCACTTTCTTTGGTTTCTTTGTCGGTTTTCCCCATCTTGTCTGTTCGGGAATCCTCAATCGGATGGGTGGGCTCCTCTTCGCCTGAATAGTCTGCCAATTCCTCCCCGGTGAGATAGGGCCGTTTAGCGGCTAAACGGCTTCTCGTCGTAGGAACTTTCGGCATTCCAGAGCCCCACGTTGGGCGCCAACTGTTATATGATGGCGGTGGTGCGCCGTCGAAGAAAACCAGCCGTTGGTTTAACAATAAAATTTATTTACAATACCTTACAAGGCGTATTTACATCAGGGGTATTTATTTACAGTGGATCGGGCCTCGATCTTGATGCGGAGCGTCGATCTTGATGCGTAGCGTGGTTGGAGTTTTCTCTTGTTTAACGNTACATTTTACATTATTCGAACTTAAGTTACCTTACTAAAATTTTTTTTTTTTCAAGGTTATTCATAAGTTTACTCATACAAAGTTTATTCTCATCAGTCGATCGGTCCCTCTTGTTTCCTCCCATTATTGTAGGTAGTCTTGTGTTGAGTTGACTAGGTGAAGTAGCCGAAGTGTTCTTTGCTTCTCCTCGATGTAGACACAGCTGAGGATGTGATATAGTTACGAGATCTGGTACCATTGTCCCTCCATATTATCCTCAAGCTGGGGTTTTCAACGTTACGGAGTGATTTTCACTTCAGAGACTACCATCCAATGTAGGAGGTTTTGAGAGTTCCCTCACGACCGATGTGGTGTACATGAAACAATAAAAACAACATGACGGCAGCAACTTAACTATTACAACTAACTGTCATCTACTTGGTAGGACATAACTACAACATTAAGAGCTAAAGATTAGTTTCACATTGTTGGGTTTGGTCGCTCGTTTTAAATTTACTTTGCAGGATCTACCATCGGGCAATACAAATACTCCTTCTTCGTAAGTTCCCAGTTTTACATTGCCTTTACTATATCGATCTTTTAGAGTATTTTCTACTTTTTTACACTTTTTAATGTACTTTATTATTACCCATCCGATGGCTATCATTACTGCTACAGTTATACAGTATAATAAACTGCTTTCAACGATTTGGTGAACCCCTACAGTTATTTATTCCGAAAATAACCATACGTGGTTTAAATTTTTTAATCTCCCTAATCTCTGTTTTTCCTACTTTCTCTGTTACTGCCAATTTTAATTTGTCCACATCGGATTTGTTTTTACATTCTATGAAAACAGCCCCATTCTTATTCGACGTAACCCTTTTAACATTAATTCCAACGGCAACTGCCGGTCGGTGCACAGCCAGACAACAACACGCACGTACGTGTCTCCAGATAAATCTTTTATCTCTCTCACTTCTTTCGGTTATTCTCTAAAAATATAGACTCAGCTCGTTATGACAGACGCTGTACAATAATCTTGATACAACGTTGACTTATCAGCTTTTCAGTCACTGTAACAAATATGTGCATCAAAATATATTATTTATGACGGTTTTATTTACACACATCAATTTATTGACCAATTTTGCGACCTTCAATTTATTGTTATGTGTAATACAGAAATTGATCAATTAATTGGTCAATTTCAGATTGACCAATAAATTGATGGTTGATAGAACAAGTTCTATTTTTCGTCAATTTTTTAGGGTTTTTTTTAGTAACTTTTGATATTCCCAATTATTATGTTTGATTACCTGGTTTATAGTTTAACAGTTTGATAATAGATTTTGTTTTAATAAAAAAGATAAAAATGGTGAGAATTAAATCTTTAACTACCAAGAAAAAAAGAGTGAATGCCATAAAAAAAGTAATGATAAGTTTAATTATAACAATTTGTACTAAAAAAAATATAAACCGGAGATGGTGGGTAAGACCCTGGCTGAAAAAAACCCAAGGAAATTTGTCGTTAATTAAAGAAAGCTTTAAATTAACTGATCCAGAACAATTCAGAAAGTTTCTGAGAATGGATGAATCTACTTTTAATTTTTTATTGTGCCGTGTTGGTCCAATAATTACAAAGCAGGATACCTTCATGAGACTGTCCATATCTGCTAAAGATAAGTTATTAATTACTTTAAGATTTCTGGCGACTGGTGAAAGTTATCGTAGCTTGATGTACTCATTTAGAGTGTCTGAGTCTACAATATCTTTGTTCGTTCCAAAAGTTTGTAGAGCAATATATGATACATTGAGAGAAGACTACTTAAAGGTATAGTTCAATTGTTAAATATATAAGTATAGATTTTAGTGTCGATCTTTTCAGGTACCAACCGTCACTGCTGATTGGCTTAATATAGCCCAAGATTTTGAAAACCGCTGGAATATTCCCAACACTATTGGAGCACTGGATGGCAAACATATTGTGTTCAATGCTCCCAAATCAGCTGGCTCTGTTTATTTTAATTACAAAGGCACTCATAGTATTGTGCTTCTTGCTCTAGTTGACGCCAACTATATGTTCAGATATATTGACGTTGGTACAAATGGTCGAGTATCTGATGGTGGAGTATTTGCCAATAGTTCACTATACCGAGCATTATTTAATGCAAATAATCCCCTTAATATACCTGAAAACAAATCATTACCTGGCCGAAATTTAGAAATTCCTCATGTTGTAGTGGCAGATGCAGCATTTCCACTGTCTACGAGAATTTTGAAACCATTTCCTATCCGTAACATGACAACAGAGCAACGAATATTCAATTATAGAGTGAGTAGAGCTCGAAGAGTAGTTGAAAACGCTTTTGGGATTCTGGCCAATAGGTTCAGAATTCTTTTAAATACAATAAATTTAAGCCCCGAAAAAGTACAAGTTATTACGTTGGCTTGTTGTGTTTTACACAATTTTTTACGAAAAGAAATGAAAGAAACATATAATGAACAACAAAGTGAAAACATGGTTTTTCAAAATGGTCTTTCTCATCAAGGGGGAAATCGATATTCAACACAAGTTAGAGCTATACGGGATGAGTTTATGTTATATTATAATAATGAAGGATGTGTTCCATGGCAAATGGATAAATAATACATATTCAAATAAAATAATATCAGAATATGAAATTTTTATTCTATTTCTTCATCTAATGCATCAAATATAATATTGTGTATTTGTCTCTTTAATTTATTAATAGTTCTGTTATTTCTAATTTTTCTCATATCAGCTGCTATTGATCTAGAAAACAAATAGTTATATAAATCAAAGATATTAAAGCAAAAAAAAAATATTACTGTCCAAATATTTCTAAATCATCAGCTTCTTCCGTTTGATATTTGTTCAACATATCTGTTGCTTTCTCTAATATAGAACCTGCAATCATCACTTCTTTTCCTCTTCCTAGAATTTGGTCTTTGAGAATGTTCAGAAAAGCTTGAACTTGATCTTCCGTGGTTCCGTGCAAGTTAATATCTGCATGTGCTTCCTCTATCGAACCATCAATCAATATCTCTATTTCTATATCCTGGCCATCTGGCTACTTCTTGAGATGTTGTTGTTTGTTCATTGTAAATTAAGTTTGATTCCCCTTCACGTATTGGCATACTTTCACTTAACACATTCAGCCCCATGTGCCCACCGGTGAGCATTTTCAGTCTTTCATTTCGGACCGCGTGCTCACCGATGGGCACGTGGTGTTGTTTACTTCAAGTCACCGTGCTCACCGGTGAGCACGTATTAAATTGATTTCACGTATGATGACGTATTTAGTGGTCCCACGAGCAAACAAAACTTGCCTTGGACCGGGCAGAACGAATAGACAGGGTGAGATTTTGAGGGATGAATTTTTTTTTATATATTTTGGTATTTTGACATATTTTATTACAAAAATAATTCAAAATACATTGAAATATTGCACAAACGTAAATGAAAATATATTCTAATATAGAAAACGACTACAAACTAATAAACTGAACAGTTTTCGAAATCGAAAAATCGAAATAATGTAAATAAAAAAAATAATGTAAATGAAAACTTGAAAACTTATTCAAAGGCACAACAATAATAAAATTATATTCTTATAAAAACAGTAAAAGAGCTTATTTGGCTTATTCTAAAGAAACAGTTTCTAAATGCTTCTGGAAGCATTCCAGGCACATTGGTAGTTCGCACGAATCACAATATGTATTGATTTTTTTCGCGTTTNAACGACTGGTTTTTTTATTTACAATTTACAATACTTTTCTACACGAGATTAATATAGAAACGATGTTTGTAGTATAATGTCCTCTGAGTCGAACGGCCTTCCTTTTTAACTCGGCTCCATGAATGCCGACCAATGGGGTGCGTCCGACCATTCGGCACGGCCTTCCCAGTGTTGGAAGGGAAGGTAAGCGTGGTAACATATCACGGTTTCTGACTTCGGTATTTTAAGTGGATGACAACTAAACACACGTTACTAATCAATTAGCGCTTACTATTTTGTAATTGAAAATTAACGCTTATTTTCCGCAAATACACACACAAATACATTTGGAAGCCTAAAAGTATGCTCTTTTCAGTAACATCATAACCAATTATAGTTTGTATTTAAAAAAATATAACTTGTGTTGTATCTCAAAAATTATCAACACAAAGTGTCTTAACAACTTATCAACCCCATTTCTCTAATTTCAAAAATAAATGAAATTTGAGCATTTTTTGAAATCACAAAAAATTGATTTTTCAGCTATAAGTTACTTTTTTGGATTATTATCGCTGTTCCCGCGACAAGAAGCCGGGAACCACAAAATATAGGTTTTACTCACATTTATTTTGAGCATGTTGTCGTCGTGACAGACGTAAAGAAAGGAAAATTAATTAATGTGATTTTTTATTACAGCAATATCGTAAGCAGGAATTTTATTCGCCGGTATATGCATCCCACGTTAATCTTTTTGAGCAATACCTGTATTCCTCCTTTTGCGCAGATTATTATCCTACCGTTTCTGACTTAATTTCAAAGATTTGTGAAGGAAATCGTTGCACACCCTTTTCCTTGCAATTTAACTGTAACTAACTCTTCTTACACTTTGTATTATGCAACGCCTGTTCATATTTTCTTCTCCTAGGCATACTATACTTCATTTAAATAACTAGGAGGAGTGAATCTCAAAACCCCATTTACATAGGAAAAAGTAACTAGAAAATACACTAAACATTTTTAGCGGCAAATTTGAATTCTAAACGTAAAACCAGTCGCATTTATGCAACCAACAAAACACCAAGCATTTGAGCGTAGTATTCTAGAACATACTATGTTTTGTTATGACATGGTCAAAACCACAGAAGCAAATATCTCTATGGCCGTTTGTCTATAGGTACATCGTTCAAAATGTATCCAAAAGACAACAAGATTCACTAAATAACTTTATTCAGCACAGACAAACAAATATTTTCATGAAAACAATGCAATAACATATGGGGCGGGCGCCTTTGAAATCCTGCGTACAAACTTTAACGGTACAAACTTTAAATAATCAGAAAAAACTATAATTGCACATTAAATATTATCTTCTGAAGCACCTGATCAATTACTGTCACTATCGCTATCATTATTTCATTTCTATTGGGTTCAATTCGCAATGATATGGTGGTAATCTTAAGACAATTTTATTTTCTTTTTTTGCCATTTCGTCTGTTACATATAAATTATAACGTTCCTTGTGTTGACGTATTATATTCAACAGTTGACATCGTACCATACCTTCTTCGAACTTAATATTTTTTGATCGCAACCATGCCTGCATATCAAGTTTCTTTGATGACTGTGTTGGTACTTTCTCAACTTTACGACTGTGATATGACGCGTTATCCATTATTATGGCAGAATTGTCAGGCAGTTTCTTTAAAAATTCTGAAAACCAGTTTTCAAATACGTTAGCATTCATTTCTTCGTGATAATAATCTCCACTTTTTTTGCCTTCAAATAATAATTCCATTTTCCGAGCCAGCATGCAGCACTATCAAACGTTTTCCTTTTCCAGAAGGGTTTTTTAACCCTGTGGATAAACCTTGGATAAAAGCATCACGCCTGTTTGTTATACTGTTATCAACCCACACTTTCTCTTTCGTGTGACCCTCATTAACCCATGTCTCATCGACATAGTAAATAGGTCTACCTTCTTTTCTAAACTCTTTAATAGAATTTAAATATCGTAGCCTCCATCTAACAATGTCGTCACGTTCGATTAGGATACTCTTACGATTTCGTTGCACATATCTACAAAACAATAACATACTTGTTTAGCTCTAATCAAATTTTATTTATTCATTAGTAAAATAATTAAAAAAAATATATACCTGAAGTTAATTTCCTTCAAAAATGTATATAATGATGATCGAGATATCTGTGGTAAATCTGGTTCATTTCTCAATTTGTTAGCAATTTTATCCAGAGTAAGAAGTTCATTTTTAATGAAAAAACCATGTACTATTTTTCGTACAAGGTTCTTCGTGTGTTCATCAAAATTTGCTATTATCTTAGGTCGCCCTCCACGATGGGGTGAATCGATAACGGTTCCAGTACATTTATATTCTTTCAATGTACGATAAACAGTGGATTTAGCGACACCTACAAAGTTAATCACAGTTTACACTTAATAATTCACATAATTAATATTTTATTATCTTACCTATTGCAACCGATATGTTGTCAACAACAGCAAACATTCTCAAAGTGGATTGATCTATTAAGCTTTGCTTGTACATATTAACTATTGCCTGTTTTTCTGTCAGAGTTAAATGTCCCAAATCCAATTGAGGCGTTTCTCGGAAAAACATCATTAGTCCTAAATTAACATATTTGGGAAAATTAAAAAAACTCTGGCAATTCACATTTTTTATTAGAATTCATTACTAACTTATCTAGTACATGTAAAAAAATATAAGAGATGTCGTCTAGAATCACTTTTCTTTTTTTTTGTCAAACATATGGATATGTGAGTATTTTAAAAGAAAAAATGAACAAAAAGGTAAAAAACTAAAAACTTCACCAGGTTCCACCATACTCAATCTTCGCAGCCACTGCTGTTATCATCGTTGTCGATTGTGTTAGTGTGATTGTCCGGTTGTGTGGTCTGCATTTTTATCAACTTGTCATAAAATTTTCTGTTGTTGTGGTCATGTAACAGAGTCTTAAAGGCAATCATAAGTGAACCAAATATATTGGCATTTTAACAAAAAAAAGCCATATTTATACATATACAGGTGTCCCGTTAAGCGTACGGAGCGGCTGTATCTCTAGAACGGTAAGGCCAAGAGGTTTGGGAAAAAAATCCTTATAAGCAAAGTGACCAAGAGAAATAGCTGCAAATTATTTTGAAGTTCGTAATTCGACCGCTAGGGGGCGTAACTGCCATTGAGAAACATAAAGTTCCNAACTTCTTCAACTCCTTCATCTCCACTAGAACTGGAGCTTTGATTTTGGGAGAAAGTAGGGTCTGCAATGGAGTCATCGGAGAAATCTGAAGCATCAAAATCAGTCAAATTTTCCGCTTCGAAGGCCAATTCTGCTTCTGTAAGAGCTCTTCTTCGTGCCATTATTGCTTAGAATCTGAAACAAACGAAAAATAAAATGCGTGCCCACCGGTAGGCATTCGGTCCTACGATGTAAATTTCATCGTGGGACAACGTGCCCACTGGTGGGCACTAAAAAAAAAATACAAAAAATCGGTAAAAAAGGAAAAATAAGGGTAAAAATAAAATAATACACTATAAAAAAATTATTTATTCAAAAAAAAAACGCATTTCTAATCCTTCACTTCACTTCACTTCTTGAAAAAGTGTATTTAACCATTTTGCGTATATGTATTTCTTTACTTCTCGTCTAGTAAATAAAATGTTATCTACGCACATCTACGTCAAATGTCACCATGCATAGTGACCAACGTAAAAAAAAAATATATCAAATCGTCGTAGAAATAATCGGTACGTGTAAAATACAAAAATTGAAGCAATTGACAATAAATCGATGTGTGTAAAACAGCTATAACACAGATACTATTTAGATAGTTACAATTTTAAAGTTAAAGTTGGCTCTGGTGCCCTCACATCTCAATATAATTGTATCGAATTTAATCTGCCCGTCCAGAATTAATTCACAAAAGTCTGTGCACCGAACAAAATGGTCTTTCTCGAAATAAAAAATCCAGGATCAGCCAACTGAACATCCTTTGGTAGATTCAATGTAGTGCACAGTTTTACAGTGGGAATATTCACAGTAATTTTACTGATGACCAGAAAAGACAAAGTCGTTGCAAATTTTCCCCTTTCTGAAGCAACTGTCGTTGTTGCAATATTCTTCACCCAAGATCATGAACCATTAAATCCAGAAATTTTTACAAATTTTTCTTCAGTTTTCAATTTGTTTTCCTGTTAAAGATTCAGTTAAATAATTTGCAGTAGAGCCGCAACCAGAAGCGCTCGTGGTCTTACCTTATTACCAAAACAGTCTTCCCCATATTATCTTTCCCACCATATTTAGAACAGTTTGACTTCTCAAATATAAAAAAAAACAAATTTAACCTCCTTGTCTCGTCTCTTCTTTTATTTATGTTAAATATCAGAAAATCTTTATATTTACAAATAGTATGATCCCTTTCACAGTAGTCACAGCACAACTTTCTCGCGATTACTCAAAATCTGCAAATGGACGTCAAACCCATCATTCGACACTTGGATTGACCTTCTCTATCAGAACGACCGGAGATGAATGCGGGGAACGACTGACTTCGATGACACCCTCCGCCAACATCTCCACTTCACGGGCGATAAACTCATTTTTGGTAGAGGAGCAGCGGTATGGCGGTAGTCAAAAGGGCCTCGCTCCAGCGGTGAGCTGTGGTACTCTTATGGGAGTTGGTGAATACGTCGGGGAAGGCCTCCTTGTGTTCGTCCGGAAATTGATGACGGATGGTGCTGACATTCAGTGCGGGCACTATATATCATTTAAAGATAAATTAATAAAAATTAAATCTTAAGGTGCTCCACCAAAAGGTACTACACCTATATATTTACTAAGAACAAATTTCATTCCATAAAAATTTAATCTAATTGATTGATTGAGAAATACAATTTACCAACGACTTTCTCTACCTACCCTTTCCCTCCCATAAGCGTTGATTTTAAAGCAACTACAATACTCAAAACAAAATTATTAAACTAAGCAACGCTTTTAAAAATACTCCAAAAACTAATTAGCAAACTAATAAATTAATATTTTTGTGTTTTTTATTTTATATATAATTTTTTTAGGGCTTTTTTATTTAATTATTTATTTAATTATTAGACTTTAATTTTATTTATTTTTTATCAATAAAACACATAGCACATTCATTTTTTTCACCACTCATCACACTTATCAATGTGTTTAATATCTTCTTCCAAATTCGGCCAAACCATACCTTTAGTTAACATTCTATTCTGCAATCTACATCTTTCTTCAAATAAAACATGCATGGAAGTTCCAGTTTCATCACCGCACATACACAAAGGAGATTCAAATTTTCCAATTCTATTTAAATACTCCTCAAAATTGCCATGACCAGTAATTAACTGTACAGTTTCGGGTTTTAAAAATCTACCAACCCTACCAACTCTAGGTATAAACTAATAAGTCAACCTCCCAGTCACTGAGTTATCCCATCTATCTTGCCATTTTTTCAACATAAATTTCCTAATCCTATTATTCACTGATCTCTTAGAAATCACATTTAAATCAATTTGTAAATCTTCGCAGATCGAAGCTTCTTTAGCTAATTGATCCGCTCTTTCATTACCTTTGATTCCAGAGTGACCCTTAATCCAAAAGAAATCAATATTTACTACCTGAATCTTTAATCAAATTCCATGTATGCTTTTGCAAAATGGATGATTTCCTCATGTTCTTTAGGCCTTTTAATACTGAAATACTATCACTACATATTGCACGCTTATCTAACTTTTCTTTAATAGCATATTTAATTGCACTATTCACTGCCAATAATTCCGCATGATAGTTATCACATAACGCGCCTAATTTAATTTTTTCAAAATAAATTTCAACCCCATCACAAAAAACAACAAACGCAGCACCAACACTATCCTTACTCTTAGCACCATCCGTAAATATTTGGATTCCTTTATTCAGTGCGGACAGTAGCGTAGTGGGTCTGCTCCACCAAAAGTAGATTGTGGTCCTCTCCTTTTTCCCGAAGTGGAAACAGCCTCGCTGAAAATCGAGGATCACTTCTTGGTCACGGAACCAGGGATCTCCAAAAACGGACGGGTTGCTGAGTCGGGGAACCACCAGAAACTGTTGGGTACACTGGACTCCACCTATGGCGAACGTTTCATTTATTTTTTTCATTGATTTCCTGTTATGCACATAGATATTCATAGATAATAATAATAACCTAGATAGTAATAATAGATAATAGGACTAACTTAATAGATAGTAATAGTAATAATAATGAAATATAATATATAGATTTTCATGTTCACTGTTGTACAAATGTTAGCTTATATCTTAGACCATTGCCAAGAAACACTTCCAACACTAGATACAAAATATTTGCATAGGATGTTCCTTACATTGTTTGCATTCAAACCTCCTCGTGATGTTGTTCCTAAGCAATTCACCATAGTATAATATATACGTTAGTATAAACTTTTAACATAGAAACTTGTGATGGCATGTTACAAATGAAGTTTGGAAATTTAATTTGTCTCTCAAAATAATAAAATATACAATAAAAGCTCTCAAAATCCCTATACAAGATATAAAATTCCATGTATCCCTATTATTCTGAAATTCCATTATTTTTCCCTGCAACTAGGGACAAATCCCCAAATCTGGCATCACTGACCACAACATTCCCAACACAAAATGTTTGTTTCCGGCGGTCAGAGTAGATGATTTATAAATTATTGAAAGTAACGTGGCAGCTGTCATCTTTTTTCAAAAGAATTTAATATCGCAAAAATGACTCAACTTAGGTATAGGGTATGTAGCATACAATTGGCCTAAAATTGAGCAAAGATTGCAACAATATAATAAAATACAGGATCTATTTGAAATATGAAAATTGTCGCCACTTCCGGTGTAACCACAAGTACCCGGAACCTGAAAATATATTAGTTAAAAAGCTCGCATCAAACATTATAAGCTTGCAAATTTTCAAACCCCCACTTCAATTAGTTCTCTATATAGTTATAATGGGCGGTCGTCGTGGATGACTCTGTATTATACGTATATTATAATATATTATATTTATTATAAAGTAACTGATATAATAAATTTTGAGAAGTTGGTCGTTTGGTGTCTTTAAACAATTTTACTAAAGTTTGAAGCAGTTAGTCGATGTTTTTTTTCCTGTACATAAGTGTCACAAGCATATTGTCTAAGAGTTTGCTCTGCTAATTGATTGCGTTGTTCTGATGAAACCTGATATTATTACAATTATTTTAATTTTAAAAACAACGTGTTAGTTAAATGCAGATTTACATACTCACTATCTACAAATCACTTCTATATGAAAAAAAATCTACATACTATAAGCAAAATTATATTATAAGTACACAAACCCTGAACATTGTTAATGTGCTCAAATAATGCTAGAAAAGTCAACGCAAAAGAAGACATCAAATATTAAAAAAAAAATATCTTAAAAATGCTGCCCAACCTGTCCACCTCCACCTTTCTGTAAGCCATACTTTTGCCATAAATGACCTACTATACAAAAATTTCAATAAATAAAAAGCAGGGAAACTTTTCAATAAATTGCTTCAGTTCGTTTTTCTTTGCGTCAAGTGTTTTGTTGTGTGGCGGATGTTTGCCGCGTTTGTCACATGGTGTTGGTGTTCCAAATGATTTGTTTTTTAGTAGTCTATCTAGTC